GATACACTTAATAACAATAACAGTGATAGTATTATATGCAATGAAACTTTAGACAGTCCATTAAATATTGATTGGAATCAACAAAATTTGTTCAACTGGATACAAAATACATATAAATAATTACCCAATTGTTGCCAACAAAATTCAAATCAGTACATAGTCTGTTGACATGTCAGAATGAAATAGCAATATTACTATAATTTTCATAGAATAGAAATATGAAAATTAGTATCAGTTTTGCTGTACTTGAGCATATAAGGTCACATAGTAACCTCTTTTGTTGTAACATTTTTTCATCCTACTTATTTAAAATTACATAAATAATTCATCAATTGTATAAAATTCTTAGCCAAAATCTTTTCAATTTCACATCTGCATCATTCTCTCTGGTTTTCCTTCCGTTTCTATAATTAAATACATACCAGAACCTTTTCATTATGAATTCCAGATCTCTTAAACCCACTTTTATATTTTTCTCTCTGTGGTACATTCTGGATAATTCCTGATGCTATGGCTATTCACTTCAGCTAGGTTCATTGGCTGCTGAGCCCATCTAATAGTCAATATACTTTTAATTTTGTGTTATAAGTAATATGTTCGTATGCATATCACAGATAAATATATGGGCTTATGTGTATGTACATATGTGTGTGTGTGTGTGTGTGTGTTTATTCTAGAATTTTTAATTTTTTTTTCAAATTGTATTTTCTTAGTTTCTGAACATATTTTGATCAGTTTTTTTTTAGAAGATATTTACGTTAGTCATTTTGAATCTGTATTTGATAATTCCCTTTTCTTACTCTTTGGTGCTGTTGTCTTGTTCTTCTGAGTCAGTGCCTTGTTTCATAATGTGTGGTTACTTTTGATTTTCATGCTGCTCTTCTCATTCATTGCCTTTGAAATTTTTATCTGGGGAGGTTTATTGAGTTCTAAAATGAAGCTTGTTCCTCAGAGATTGTACTTGCTTCTACCAGGTACACAGGGGCACAAAACCAGCTTGGATTAGCCTAAATTAAATTCTCAGTATGAGTTTTTTGAACCCTTGTGGTATGACAGCCTATAACAAGTTAAGTGTGAAGGGTGACTTGTAGTCCAAATTCTTAGTGGTGGAAACTACCCTATTCAGCACAAAGGTTCAGGATTTCAAGAGCAAAGATATCAGTTTGAGGGCTAAGGTGTGCCTGACTCAAGTCGAAGTATTTTCAATAGCTTTATAGACATGTGAAAGTTGGACAGTGAATAGGGAAGACAATAGAAGAATTAATGCCTTTGAGTTGTGGTGTTAAAGAATATTGATGGTACTACAGATTGCCCTGGTGTGGCGCTGTGGATTAATGCGCCAGACTGCAAAGTCGTTTGAACTGCAAGGTCGGAGGTTCAAGCTCACCAGCTGCTCCTTGGAAACCCTATACAGGGTCGCTATGGGTCAGAATTGACTTGATGGCACTTAACAACACAGACTGCTAAAAAGGAACTCTGGTAGCGTAGTGGTTACAAATTGGGCTGCAAACCTCAAGGTCAGCAGTTTGAAACTACCAACTGTTCCGTGGGAGGAAGAGGAGGCTTTCTGCTCCCGTAAAGATTTACAGCCTTGGAAACCCTGTACAGGGTCGCTATGAGTTGGAACCGACTCCATGGTACATAACCACCACCACCACAGACTGCCAAAAGAAACAGGTCTGTGTTGGAAGAAGTACAGCCTGAGTGCTCCTTGGAAACCAGGATGGTGAGACTTCAGAGCTCATACTTTGGACATGTTATCAGGAGGGACCAATCCCTGGAGAAGGACATCATGCTTGCTAAAGTGGAGGGTCAACGAAAAACAGAAAGACCCACCATGAGATGGATTGGCACAATGACAGCAGCAGTGAGCTCAAATATAACAATTGTGAGTGAAGATGGCACCAGACTGGGCAGTGTTTCATTCTGTTGTGCATAGGCTTGCTAAGATTTGGAACCAACTGGATGGCACCTAACTACAACTAAAATGGTTAAGTGTATTTTTGTCTGTGGGTGGTTATTTCTAGGTCATCCCCAAGGATGTAGCTTTTGGTCTGGTGTCTGATTCATAGAGATTTCTTATCAGAAACCACAACATGGACAGACTCCTTATAAAAGCCAAAGTTCAATTTTGAGTGAAAATCAGGTATGGTGTTGGGGGCTTCATGTGGGCCAATCCCTGGGTCTGAGGTTCCTTACTTTTTAAACTGCTTTTTGGTCCTTTTACGAATGAAAAAAAAAAGGACTATTCATGATTGTAGGTGTCCATCTAGCTATCAAGTTGTTGTTGTCAAGTGCTGTTGAGTCAGTTCTGACTCATGTTGTTATTGTTTAGTGCCATCGAGTTGGTTCTGGCCCACAGCAACTCTGTATGGTTTCTAAGGAGCAGCTGGTGAGTTTGAACTCTGAACCTTGTGGTTCAAACCAACTTTGCAGTCCAGCACATTGACCCAGAGCTCCATAGCAGGACTCCTTCTCATAGTGACCCAGTATAAGGTTTCTGAGGAGCAGCTGGTAGGTTTGAACTGCTGACCTTGTGGTTTGCAGTCCAGTACCGATCCTATAGTCCCACACCAGGAGTCTGTCACATTTGCTACATTATGAAAAATCTATCCCCATGGTACATGAGGAGTCCTGGTGTGTAATAAGCACTGGACTGTTCATAAGGTTCAAATCTACGAATTGCACATTGGAAACCTTCTACAGGGTTGAAACCAACTCCATGGCACATATCAACAACCATACATGAATCCATGTTCGTTAGTGATGGTATGAGGACACAAAGCCTGTTGTGAGCGTAGAATTCACTCCAACTCATAGTGTCCATATAGTCCAGAATAGATCTGTCCCATAGGGTTTTCTAGGCTGTAATCTTTACAGAAGCAAAGTGCCATGTCTTTCTTTGGGTTTGAACCACTGACTTTCAGTAAGCAGCACAGGTCTCAAACATTGCACCACCAGAGAGAGCTCTCCTTGTGAGGGCACCAGAATTTCTAACTTCATCCCTACTTCTGCTAGCTTTAACGTCAACCAAATTCCATCTCCATAATTATATTGCTTCAAGTCCAGCCTCATCCAACTCAAAATTATCTTGTCAAACTCTGAGCCATTTTATTATGCTTTTTCTCTTGATCACGCCTTCCCAATTTCCCCAACCTTTTCCCAGATTTAATACATCCTCCCTCCATTAATTCATGCTCTTGTTAAGTGCCATCGAGTTGGTTCCGACCCATAACGACCATATATAGGGTTTCCAAGGAGTGACTGTTGAGCTTGAACCGCCAACCTTGTGGTTCAAACAAATTTTGCAGTCCAGAGCATTAACTCTCAGCACCATACCAGGACTTCTAATTCATGCTCTAGCATGCGAACAACCTCCCCGCTCCCCGCCCCCTAAAAGCCCCAATCCTAACAGACAAAAACCCTTAATACCATCCTAATCTTGCACACCAGAAACTACAGCCTGCAATTACAGGCTTGCTTTTTGCTTTCTACTTTCTGAATTCCTTGGCGCTCAGATGTCTGGGAAATGGTAGTGAATGCTACTGAAAAGGGAGCCTTAGTCCTGAGATAGCTATTGTCTGTGGATTGTAGATCAGTCTTCTGTCTTGTTATCCTAACAAAAAGAAAACCCAAACCTCTGCTATCTAGGGTTTCCTAGATGATAAATCTTTAGAGGAACAGGGTACCTTCAGCTTTCTCTAGCGGAGGTTGCTAGATTTGAACCGCCGACCTTCTGGCACAAAGCCTTAACCCACTCACTGCACAACCGAGGATCTTATTACCTGAGGGACTTTTAATTAACATAAACGCTGTGATTCTGGCCTCTTTAGGAAAAAGCAAGCTATGGCTTCCCCTACCTCCTGCTTTAGTTCCTTGTTGACACTTTAGGCTCCTCTCACACTGAGCATGCTCAAAAACTCAAAGCAGAAATTGGCTTAGTTCTAAAGCAAGGACATTGGTAAACTCTGATATATTGCTCTGGAAAATCATTGTCATCAGTCTTTTTCAGTAACACAAAAGGAAACAAAAAACTGTTAAGGTCTTTTGGCAGACCACGCGCCCCCTTCACACTAATTGAGTACTCATCACCCGGAGTTCATCAAATTGTTACAAGATCAATGTCATGCTCAACCAGGAGACCTACACATAGAAACGAAAGCGGTAAACTACAAATACTGTGTTTATTAATTTCTAGTTAAGTGATATCTAATGAGCCAATGCTTCTGTACAACTGTACATGCTGTCATCAGCTCAGTTTGCAAATTATCTGGGAGCACAGTGGACTGAGAACCAAGAGGTCCAGAGTTCCAGCTCACCAGGCTCTCAGCGGGAAAAAGATGAGACTTTGTTGCTCCAAAAACCTACAGCCTCGGAAACCCTACACAAGGATTGCTATTAGACGAAGCGGCATTAACAGTGCGCAGTGATGAAAACACTCGACTGATTAAAAGGTACACTGTTCAAAACCACGTTAACAAGGGATAAAAACGTCAACTTGCTTTTGATTACAGCCTTAGAAACCCTATGGTGCAGTTCGTTGCGATCATGTTAACTGATACTGTTTCATTTACCGAGCTCTACACAAAACCTTTCCTAGGTCTAGTAAAACAATGAATGGTAACCTAGTTTCAAATTATCAGCATTTGTAGTACATGGATTACAACTCAATTGTTGACAGCATGCGTGGCTCTTAAAAGAACCTTTGGGATTAGCCGTAAATTTTACTTTAATGGAAACATTACTTGGAACTAGTGTACTTGGTAACGGCCTTGGTGCCCTCAGACACGGCGTGCTTGGCCAGCTCCCCCGGCAGCAGCAGGCGCACGGCGGTCTGGATCTCCCGGGACGTGATGGTCGAGCGCTTGTTGTAATGTGCCAGGCGAGACGCTTCACCCGAGATGCGCTCAAAGATGTCGTTCACAAAGGAGTTCATGATGCCCATAGCCTTGGACGAGATGCCGGTGTCAGGGTGGACCTGCTTCAGTACCTTGTACACGTAGACAGAGTAACTCTCCTTACGGCTGCGCTTGCGCTTCTTACCATCCTTCTTCTGCGCCTTGGTCACCGCCTTCTTGGAGCCTTTCTTTGCAGCAGGAGCAGATTTGGTAGGTTCAGGCATTGTAAAACCAAGTTAAAATGACTGCTAACACATGGGAAAGTGGTCCACCTTAGCGTGGTGTCATATATTTATAGATACAGTATTCAAATGATGTTAATAAGACTTAGTTCACGATTGGATTATCAGGGTATGGCGTCACAAATACTACCGTAAATGACACTTCCAGGTCTACATTTTCATTGGCCATTTCATTACTGTGTTTAACCCAATCAAAAGACCTAACCTAGATTACTCAAAGCTACTTTATAAAAGGACCTCTTCCAAAAGGACAACGTAGTCACAGCAAGCAGACAGTTAAATTCTTCGTGTTTTTTCGTAGTGGGCTGGGCCATTTGTCGACTCTCTCTAGAACAACTCGGAGAATAGGGCCGGCCCATGCGCACCTGGGGCTGTACTGTTTGCGTAGATGTAGGAGGTGGGGGTTTACGCGCCTGGTGAAGTGGAAGGCACTCCTCCTAGCCCACTGCAGATAGTCTTCAGTAGTAAGCATAGCCTTCTGAAAGTTTACTCATTTTCGTTCCCTATCAAAAGTTTTCCAATCATAGTTAAAACCTGCCAGTTTTTAATGAGCATATCTATTGCAGTGGAGTATGAATGGGGCAATTTACGAGTTTTTTTTCCCGTAAACCCTGGGAAGCAAGGCATTGATATCAAATGGTATGGCAGTGTGTAGTCACTGGCCTGCTAACAAAATGTTGGCGGTTCAAATTCACCAGCCGGTCCTTGGAAGCAGATTCAAAGGCACATAAATTCGATCAGATTACGCATTGGGTAATGGAGTCCTGGTGTGGTTCTATAGGATAAATAAGCACAAGATCAGCTCGAACTGAAAGGTTGTTTGTTGCCCAAACTCACCAGCCGCCCCTTGGAAACCTTATTATGCAGGGCCAGGAGTCAGTCACGACCCAAAGACACATTATATTCCAGCCCGTATTCAAATATGAAAAGGAATATCCTAGTCTAGGAAGCACCTTGATTCTATAAGGTTAGGCAGTAGACTGCGAACGGCAAGGTCCACGGTACCACCGGTCCCATACTGCCAAGCCGCTAAGAGGACGAGGCTTTCTGCTCCCATGAACGTTTAAAATTTCCAAAACTGATTCCCCTCCCTCCAAACCATCCGAAGTCTTTTGAACTACTATGGTTACTGGAACGCATCTCCAGAGGCCAGTTTACAGTCTAACAGATTTTGGCTTGTGTACTTTACACCGGTTAAGGGCCACAACAAACCACAGGTGTTTCCACTACGAGAAATTATTCCACAACAAACTATTATCTTCTGTACATTACGTTTCCACCCACGCCCCTCCCCCATTACGTGAATCCCGCCCCTAGAAACCACGCCCCTTACAATGTGCAACAGCTCTTTTTCTGATTTATCTGGGTGGCTCTGAAAAGAGCCTTTGGGTTATTTTAAGCCTCTTAAGTAGACGACCAAAGAAACTTATTTTTTCTTGGCTGCCGCCTTCTTTGGCTTTGCTGCCTTTGGCTTGGCGGTCTTTGGCTTAGCCGCCTTGGGCTTCACCGCTTTGGCCTTTGCTGGGCTCTTGAGAGCCTTCTTGGGTTTAGCTGCCTTAGCCTTTTTCGGGCTTTTAGCTTTTTTGGCTCCTGCAGCCGCAGCTGGTTTCTTTGCCTTCTTTGGGGTCTTTTTGGCGCTCTTCTTCGGGGTAGCTGCCCCCGTCGCCTTCTTGGCCTTCTTAGCTGCTCCCGCAGACTTCTTGGTTTTGGCAGCGCCTGCCTTCTTGGCCTTGGGCTTGGCTTCCCCAGAGGCCGCCTTCTTGTTGAGCTTGAAGGAGCCCGAGGCGCCGGTACCCTTGGTCTGCACCAGGGTGCCCTTGCTCACCAGACTTTTAAGACCCAGCTTGATGCGGCTGTTGTTCTTCTCTACATCGTAGCCAGCTGCTGCCAGTGCCTTCTTAAGCGCGGCCAGGGACACTCCGCTGCGCTCCTTAGAGGCAGCCACCGCCTTGGTAATGAGCTCGGACACGGGGGGTCCGGACGCCTTACGCTTAGCGGCACCTCCAGACTTGCGAGCCTTCTTTTTCACAGGCGTCTTCTCGGCGGGAGCTGGCGCAGCGGGCGCAGCGGGCGCAGTCTCGGACATGCTGAGGGCGGGGGTGAGGAGCGCAACTCGAGCCGGAAACAGAGGCACTGGCCGGGACTCGGGCCGCGGCGCTGCGCCCGCCGGTTTATATAGGGCGGAGCTGCGCGGTGATTGGTGCGCTGTCCAGCCCGCCTCACTGGCAGCCGCAGAGTGTCCTCTCTGATCCAGAGTTGTGTTTGTTACACCTCAAAAAAGCCTAAAAATATAAAAATTCTCCATTCTGAATTGCCCGGTTTTTCTCAGAAAATTATTTCTGAAGCCTCAGGCTTCGAGACGGTTTCTGATTATGAGCAAAGCACAAGTCCTTATGCTAAAAACCAGCAATATTTCCCGCCGTGCTTGGCAAATTTCAACTCAGAGGAACAAAACTTTCTATTTTCTTTGTAAATTATAAACCGATCTTCAACTGTGGAGTTTTCTGACCTCCCAAATATGATTCTCCAAGAGGTTAGTTTCTTATATATCCAAAAACCATGCCACTGGCATTAAGATTTTTATTACAAATCTTCACTTAAGTGAAGGAAGTAACACAGGCTCCTCAGAGAGTCCTGCCTATTGAGTCGAGGGCATTTGAGTTCATCAAACTGGTTTAGTATAATCCCAAACAATTATTACCCATTTGATGTTAACTTCTGGATCCATGAGACATAAATCTATACAACCATGGATTTATTTTGTGTACTGCACCTTAGTTTTCAAGCAATTCTTTAGGAAAATTCTTTTCTTTACTACTCCCAGGGGTTGAGGGCGGGGCTGTGCATTTCTTTTCCTCTGGACAACTCCAAGGGTTGAGAAACCTTGAAGTCAGGGTATTTGGGAAGCAAGGGGAGTCCAAAACGCAGTCAGGGTGCAGAGGTGAAAAAGATTTAATTTTCAGTTTAAGACGCAGATGATATATACAAAGTACTGGAAGTGGGGATGCACTTTACTTTCTTTACTTTGAAGAATGTCTTCAGTCTTTGGGTATTTGATTCAGAACCACATTGTAATGAATTTACTAGAGATAGAGTTCAAGCATTGATCATATGGGAAAATAAATGGGAAGTGCAAATTAGAATACATTCAATATCTTTATTAGTGATGTTACTATTGAATACTATTGAATAGTGATGGAATGATTAGTCGGTCAACACACAAAATATGGTTTCAATCTCCATAAAGAGTACAGTCCTAAACTTCCCGAAGATCCACAAAAAAGAAAAGCAATTACATGTAAGAGCTGAACAACAAGTTTAAATTTCCATCTAAGTAACAAAATGTTGAGAGATTATCCAAGCTATATCGTTGCCCTCTGTAGAAATCCTTTGCAAGGTCTCTGACGCAGTAGGCTTGTTTAAGTAGCTGTCCAATCAGTAAGAGTTTATATTGGCAATGAAAACAAAGGAATTTTCCAGGAGAATAATATGTTGTTGTTGTTGTTAAGTGCCATCGAGTCGGTTCCAACTCATAGCGACCCTGTATAGAGTTTCCAAAGAGCAGCTGGTGAGATTGAACCGCCAACCTTGCAGTTCAAACGACTTTGCAGTCTGACGCGTTCACCTAGAGGGACACACCAGGACTCCAGCAGAGTAGTATAGAATTGTCTATAGAGCTTTAAGCCACTAATAGACAAGATTTAATTTTTCACAATGTTATAAATAGGTGATATTCTATTTTACGAGGGGAATCTTGGTGTAATGCTGTAGAATAAGCATTGAATACGAACTACAAGATTGGCAGTTCAAACCGACCACCCATTTCTCAGAAACCCTATACAGGGTGGTGGTGTAGGATAAACAATAGACTTCTAACCCAAAGATTGGCAGATCAAACTCAACAGCCTCTCCTTGGAAACACAGGGTGGCTTAGCACTTAACAACAAAACAGTAAATGTAAAATAAATGTATCCTTGATATTTATTAAAATAAATTGGAGAAAGGGGTGCAAAGTCTCTAAAACTTGATGTTTGTCAGCAAGGTCAGTTTAAACCAAAGGCCGACAGTTCAAAGTTACCATCCACTCCTCAAAAACCATACCATAGAGTAGCTACGAGTTGGCGCTGACTCAACAGCGCTTAACAACAACAACAATAACAAGGAAAACTGTAATTATGTGGGCATTTGATGCTGGAACAGAGGGATTATACTCATTTTTACTGACAAACAAAACTACTCCCATAAGTGACTGAAATTTGCAAAACTTATTGAAGTATCTTGTCAAATACATCACTCTTCCCATCTAGTCTTCAAGACTTCTGACTCAGAAAATTCTCTTTGATGCAACATGTAAAATGCATTTCTTACTGTGTGGGGTCTTATGCCCAGTGTGAAGAATGATTCTTTTTAATGCAATTTCTTGAATTTGTGTAGTCATGATCTGTTCTCAAGTGTGCAATTCTCTAACCAGTTAAGGAAACAATTTCTCACAACTGATGTTTCCTTAAACCTTTATATAACCCCAAGTGATGGAAAAAAGGGGATATCATGTAATCATTATCAGTTTAGCCATGATAGCAACTGTGCTAAAAAAAGACAATAGGGTTTATAAAAAAGTTGAAAGGAAGGTGAGGCTTGTTTTCTTGACTTTTTTTGCTCTACAGTTCTGGACTCCCTAATTCTAAACTTTGCTACTTTGATATAATTTTGAATGATTGCTTTCATGAGCACAAAGATTAGGAAAGAGGTGTTTGGCACTAGACAAATTATCCCTTCTCCATCTTCCTCACAAGAGCTGAGTTAATGGATATGACAACATTGTGCAGACCACCTTCAGCACTCCATCTGTTGAGACAGACTTTCTCTCCATTGACTATTTTTTTTTTCTTAAATGTTTTATTGTGAATTATGTGATAGTTTACATGGGAGAACATTAGTTTTACATTCATTCTATTGTATATTGTCTCATTGCCATGGTTACAATCCCCTCCATGCAATCCTTCCCTGTACCCCCCAGGTCTTCAGCACACCTCGCTCTCCCTCTCTGGATCTAAAGTCTCCAGCTGCTCCATCGCTCCATGTCATCATCTCTGGCTCCATCTCAGGCATCACTGCTTCTCTGGATAGGGTCCCACTCTCTGCTCTTCTCCCTTGATGGTCCCAGGGACCTCTGCTCCTAGACTGGAAAGTTAATCACTCCCCTCCTTGCTATAAAACGTTTACTTTTACATTTCTCCATTGACTATTGTAATAGATCTCATTTGGCTTTTGGCATATGAAATTTCTGGAAAACTTTTCTTAAAAGGAGCTATAAACAAGTTATAGCTTAGAAATTAGAAATCTTTTTACTCAAGTGAATAATTTAAACTGTGGATTGCATGCCAAGGTCCATTCATTGCAGCATCGCTTGAAATTGCAAAAACATCGGAAACAAACTAAATATCCATACATGTGAATGTAGTTGAATAAACTGCAGAATATCAACCCATTGAATTAACATGCATCTATGAAAAATGAACAAGTGTCCACTTTCCATAGACACCCATCAACCTTGAGATGAGAGACAGAAGAAGGGATGAGTTTTTGGGAGACTTGTGAACTGCCAAACCCATGGACACTGACCTAACCACTGAGGTTTATAATTGAGAGAAGGGGCCAGCTGGCCTGAAATGGGGGAGGTATGCAACAGCACCCAAACTTGCAAATGGTACCCATTTGACCTAGCTTGGATGACTTGCTGATCAGGACATGACCAAAGGAAAATAAAGATTGATACAGGAAGCAAGCATAAATTGCTACAATTTGATGAACTGGACTTTTGCTTATGGATGTGTTGTTGTTAAGTGCTGTCCAGTCTGTTCTGACTCATAGCAACCCTGTATAGAGTTTACAAGGAGCAGTTTTTGGGTGCAATTGCTCAAAATTCCAACCGAAAGGGAAAGATTCTTCATATCAAGGATCAAACCTGTTGTCTCAGTACACAGGTTTGATAGGGACAGGCAACTTAGACATTGGCTACCAAAAATAGGGCACTATAAAGCCACAATGTGGCTGTTTTACAAGCTTTCAAGATTGTGCTAGATTTCAGAACAAGGAGAGTAAAGTGGAATCCCCACTGAATAGTTTTCCTCATTTCTAGATGTTTCTGGTAAAAGGGGATAGGGGAGGTTAGGGATAGGATTCTTTTGATTCTATAGTGATCATGACTAATTGCAATTGTTACAACTTTAAATGTAGAAGATATGAAACAAAAAGTGGGGAATAGTTAATCTTTTATTCCAGGAACAGAGGACCCTAGGAGCATCAAGAGGGACGAACATGAGTATAATGTGGGAAATTAACCAGAAAAGCAGAGATAGAAGCAGAAGCAAGGACCTAGAGAGATAGAGCAGTTGAGGACTCTAGACCCATGGAATGAGAAAGGCTGTGTGTATTGGTGGGTAGGAAGTCAGCTTGCAAAATGTGCCCTTTGGACATTTAAATGAATATATATTTCCTGTGTGTTTTGTGTACATAAAAAAGATAAAAAGCAGGGAATAGAGGTAAATACTGTTAACTGATAGTGCATGGAGGGGATTGTAATCATTGCAATGAAACAAAATATGATTTGTGGAATGTAAAACTGATGATCTGCCCTGTAAACTATTACTCAATTCACAATAAAAGCTTAAAAAAAAAAAGAACAAGGAAGACCTCTCAATGAATTAATATGGAATACATTCTACATTCATGTGAAAAAGCAAAGTGCAAAGATTAGCTATAAACACATGTTTCTGCTAATTTCTGCAAAAGAAAAACAAGGACAAATTTTTAAAAAAGCTAAAAAGACTGGTTATATGCGGGGGTGGATAAGAACAGGATGGGAAGACGGGAATATGAAACATGATAACAGAGCTGAAGAAGGAGTAACACTTTTCCAAGTATACCTTTTTGTATAATCTGATATCTAGTGAAATGTTTCACATATCCCCTAGGTAAACTTTTTAAAAACCAACAAGGATGAAGGAATCCAAAGTAGAATACAGGCACTGGCAAATGAACCAAAATTGTATTAAATTAATCAAACACTGAAGGGAATGAAAAAGGTAAGAATTAGTCTGAGTAATTGTGGCAAACAATATCTTGATTGGATACTATAAG